ATATCTGAAATACGAACGGAGGCACTGGTTAATGAAATTGAAAATATCGAACATAAGCTGAAGGAATCTTTCAGGAGCCAAGAATCGCATGAAGAACTAAAAGCCAAAAAGGAAATTAAAAAAAAATACTTCTTTTATGCCAAATCTAAGGGAAAAAACAACATCCAGTATTGGGCCCCTGTTTAGGAGAGATGGGACATACACAGAAAACAGCCAAGAAATGAGTGAGATACTCAAGTCCCAGCTACTCGATCGCTATGACAAGGTCCTGGATGCTGTAGAGGATAAACAAAATGCAGATATAGTATACACCGTGTTTGCAAAAGCTTTCGACAAGTGTGACCATGTTGTAATAGCACACAAAATGCGTGATAAAGGAATAACAGGAAAAGTTGGTAAATGGATCTATAACACTCTGACAAATAGAACAAAAAGAGTAATTGTAAACAGAGTAAAGTCTGAGGCAGCTACGGTGAAAAGCTCTGTTCCACAGGACACAGTGCTCACTCCCATTCTATTCCTCATCCTCATATCTGACATAGACAGAGATGTAAGCCATAGCTCCGTGTCTTCCTTTGCGGATGACACCTGGATTGATATGCCAGTGACCTCCATCGAAAACACCGCGAGACTCCAAGTGGACATCAACCAAATCTTCAAATGGGCCACTCAAAACAATATGAAGTTAAATGAAGAGAATTTTTAGCTACTCAGATATGGAAAGCTTGAGGAAATTAAAACTGTATCAGGGTATACGACAAATTCTAACTATACAACAGAGCGGAAAAGTAATGCGAAGGACCTTGGAGTGATAATATCAGAGGATCTCGCCTTCAAAGACCACAATAATATATCTACCCCATCAGGTAGGAAAATGATTGGATGGATAATGAGAATCTTCAGAACTAGGGACGCCAAGCCCATGATAATTCTCTTCAAATCGCTTGTTCTCTCTAGGCTGAACTACTGCTGTACACTAACTACCCCTTTCAAGTCAGGCATAATTGCTGACCTGGAGAATGTGCAGAGAACTTTCCCGGCATGCATAAGTATGATATAACACTTAAATTACTGTAAACGGTTGAGTCCCTTGATTTGTATTCCCTGGAACGCATGAAAGAAAGATACATGATAATACACGCTTGGAAAATCCTAGAGGGATTTGTGCCAAACTTATACACGAAAATCACTCCCTACGAAAGCAAAAGACTCAGCAAGAGATGTAACATTCCCTCACTGAGAAGCAGGGGTGCCACGAGTACACTAAGAGACAACACAATAAATGTCAGTGGCCCTAGATTGTTCAACTGCCTCCCAGCATACATAAAGGGGATTACCAACAGACCCCTGGCTGTCTTCAAGAAGTCAATGGACAGGCACCTAAAGTCAGTGCCTGACCAGCCGGACTGTGGGTCGTACGTCGGTTTACGTGCGGCCAGCAGTAACAGCCTAGTTGATTAGAACATGATCCACCTTGAGGCCTGGTTTCAGACCAGGCCGCGGGGGCGTTGACCCCCGAAACCCTCTCCAGGTAAACTCCAGGTAAATATGTACGCTTATGAACATGTATGTTATCTTATATATACTTGATGTAATATGCATATTTTTATTTGTATCTATATAAGTGTATTTATTTTTGAGTGTATGCATGCCTGCACATCACGGCTTACGTATACATATGTGTGTGTATGAATGTATTACCACTCCAGGCAATCACTGGGCAATATTGGATGAGTGTTATTCTTGAGGTAACTTAGTTATAATAATAATAATAATAATAATAATAATAATAATAATAATAATAATAATATGGGTTATTTCGTATTATTATTTCAAATCAATTACTGTTAGTTCATGAAGAAAAATTATTGTCACTATTTAATAAAATTGACAAATTGGAACTTACGTTGCCCAATAACAGCGTAAATTTTTTGTTTAAGAAGCCACACCAGTGATGAAAATTTGAAGCCGATCAGACGAATCATTTTCCAGTTAACGCTCGGATTCCAACTGTTACAATTTCTTGTAATTATTTTACTACATTAACTACATTAACAAGTTCAGAAGAGGTAAACTGAAATTTATTTAATGCAGTTTAGCGGGAACAACAACACAAAATCATGCTATTTTATACACAAAAATTAGTCAGCTGTTCGGCTACACACCTGAACTTCACTCCCCATCATCGTCGAATTACAAGGCACCTTTTTTTTTCCATTAAAATTTTACCACTAAGGGTTCTGGAAATTATTCCAGCCATTCCAGGAAGCTGGAAATGGGTTCAACAACTTTTGTCACAGGACGCGTGAACATGCTAATTGTTCCAAGAATCCGATCCTTTGTACCCTACATGAACCCTGAAAATTTAAAGCCGATTGGAAGGGGCGTTCAGGAATTATGAAAAAAAATAAAACAAAACTTTGGAGGAAAGGAAGCAAAGAAAAGACAAACTGAGGCAGCCTCTGGATAGGTCCCCCATCTGGGAGGCTTAATAACTCTCCCCTAAAATACTACTATTTTCTTTTATCCATTTTTCCTTTATTCCAAAGAATTAGGTACGCTCTCCAACATTCCCTCTGCACCTTCCCGCCTTTCATCAATATATCGAACAAATGCATCGAACCACTTCAAATTTATATCCCCATCTACAGTTCTCTCGTGATCCTATCTGTCCCAACTCCTTTACTTCCTCTGCCTCTGCCACATTCACCTCTGGCTTTTCTCTCTCTCCTACATGAACTTATTATTTTATTTTTTATTTTATTAACGCATAGGCCGATTCCCACCAAGGGAGGGTGGCTCGAAAAAGAAAAGCTTTCGTCATCATTCACTCCATCACTGTCTTGCCAGAGAGGTGCTTACACTACAGTTTATAAAACTGCAACATTAACACCCTCCTTCAGAGTGCAGACACTGTACTTAAATACATTAAAAAATATTCAGTAGAATTATATACACTGGAAAATATTCAGTGAAGGTTAACTAAATAAATTTCCTGAATCAGGAACCATAGATTGAGAGTCATGTATTTACACATCTTAACCCTTTAAACTGTCCAAACGTAGATCTACATTCACGTGTGTAGCTCTCCGAACGTAGATCTACGTTCATGTGTGTAGCTCTCTGAACGAAAGATCTACGTTCACGTGTGGTAGCCTCCGAACATAGATCTACGTTCACGTGTGTAGCTCTCTGAAACGTAGATATTACGTCACGTGTGTAGCTCTCCGAACGTAGATCTACGTTCACGTGTGTAGCTCTCCGAACGTAGATCTACGTTCACGTGTGTAGCTCTCTGAACGTAGATCTACGTTCACGTTGTACCCTCTCCGAACGTAGATCTACTTTCACGTGTGTAGCTCTCTGAACGTAGATCTACGTTCACGTGTGTAGCTCTCTGAACGTAGATCTACGTTCACGTGTGTAGCTCTCTGAACGTAGATCTACGTTCACGTGTGTAGCTCTCTGAACGTAGTCTTACGTTCACGTGTTAGCTCTTGAACGTAAATCTACGTCACGTGGTACTCTCTGAACGTAATCTACGTTCACAGGGTAGCTCTCTTTTAACGTAGTTTCCTACGTTAAAACGTGTTAGTAGCTCTCTGAACGTAGATCTACGGTTCACGATGTGTAGCTCTCTGAACGTAGATCTACATTCACGTTTTTGTAGCCTCCTAACGTAGATCTAACGTTCACGTGTGTAGCTCTCTGAACGTAGATCTACATTCACATGTGTACTTCCGAACGTAGATACGTTCACGTGGGGTAGCTCTCCGACGTAGATCTACATTCACGGTTGTAGCTCTCTAAAACGTAGATCTACTTTCACATGTGTTGCTCTCCGAACGTAGATCTACGTTCACGTGTGTAGCTCCCTGAACGTAGATCTACGTTCACGTGTTGTAGTTTCTCCGAACGTAGATCTACGTTCACTTTGTGTACTCTCCAAACTAGATCTACGTTCACGTTGTTTTAGCTCTCTGAACGTAGATCTACGTTCACGTGTGTAGCTCTCCGAACGTAGATCTACGTTCACGTGTGTAGCTCTCTGAACGTAGATCTACGTTCACGTGTGTAGCTCTCTGAACGTAGATCTACGTTCACTGTGTGTAGCTCTTTGAACGAAAGTTTCTACGTTCACGTGTGTAGCTCTCCGAACGTAGATCTTACGTTCACGTGTTAGCTCTCGGGAACGTAGATCTAACGTTCACGGTGTAGCTCTCTGAACGTAGATCAACGTTCACTGTGTTAGCTCACCGAACGTAAAATCTACTTCACGTGTGTAGCTCTCCGAACGTAGATCTACGTTCACGTGTGTAGCTCTCTGAACGTAGATCTACGTTCACGTGTGTAGCTCTCCGAACGTAGATCTACGTTCACGTGTGTAGCTCTCGAACGTAGATCTACGTTCACGTGTGTAGCTCTCTGAACGTAGATCTACGTTCACGTGTGTAGCTCTCTGAACGTAGATCTACGTTCACGGGTGTTGTAGTCTCTCTGAACGTAGATCTACGTTCACGTGTGTGTAGCTCTCTGAACGTAGATCTACGTTCACGTGTGTAGCTCTCTGAACATAGATCTACGTTCACGTGTGTAGCTCTCTGAACGTAGATCTACGTTTTATTTTACATGCTTTCAAATGTAAAATTGTACACTGGGGAGAGGATGCTGTATATTATTGTAGTGTTGATGGGATGACAGGCATAAATAAAGCAGATCTAAGATGAAATTATGTCTCAGAGAGAACTCGCAACAATGTAGACAAATTTGGGAAAATAAATGTAAAGACTCGTTTGACAACAGAGCAGTAAATAAGTGCAGCCTAGATTATCCAGCCTAGTTTATTCATGCTAGGTGATCCGGCCTAGGTTATCCATCCTAGTTTATCTAGCTTAATTTATCCAGGGGATCTGCTTCGGTGTTCCACTGTATTTATGTAACAACTAGCACTAGATATATTAACATGGAATCTTTGTATATTTCTTTACCCAACATTCCAGGAGCAGCGTCTCTCGACGCAACACTTGAAGAATGTCAATGTCTGGAGAGAAACACTGGAGGTGACTCTTGCAGTTGCTCGGAGCCGCTTGGAAGATACAGCATCGAACCCTCCATTGTAAGTACATGTTATGACGAATAACCATAAACCAAAATCAACAAGCTTCTGGGAAGCATCGAAGCTGTGAAGCTTCTGTGAAGCTTGCCCCTCATTATTATTATTAGGTCATGGTAGTGTACATCAATTACATGATGAAATATTATACCTACACACATATATATCTTTATTGGTAGTGTTAATTTACATTTACAAATAAATCCCCAGTCAGTGTAAACTGGGTGCTATACGGAATTCATGAAATACGCTTTTTTGTTAATTTTTCATAATTACTAATAATATAATGTGCATAAAATTTACTGCTTTACATCGAATGAAACAAAATTTTAAAACGAAAGCCAAACATCAACATATGGTTTATTATTTATTCTTAATTTACCTTATTTCAAGGCAATTTTAAAGAATCCGAGAATACTGTATTAGCTAAACGACTCCCAGTTTAGTTTTCTAATGAGTAAGTATTGAGAAATTAGGAGTTTTTTTTTATTAGAAAAGCCTAAATATATAGAAACGATAAACCCAAGAACATTCATTAAAAAATACTGAAATTATAAAAGAAAATATTCAAACAGCTCCGGGGAGAACCTCGAGTTTTCCCTGAAGTAAGTTTGATTCTTTTCTCTGAGGATGAGGATCCCCAGTCCAGTTCCAGAGGTGGTACCTCCCTATATATATATATATATATATATATATATATATATATATATATTATATATATATATATATATATATATATATAAAATATATATATATATATATATATATTATCTTAGTTTAAGACTTTTACCAGTTTGTCCATAATAAACTTTATCACATATTTTACAAGGAATCTTCTAGACACATCCGTCAGCATTTTGGGGGAATTTTTTTTGGTCAAAAGTTTATTTTACTGTATCAAGATTTTTTAACACAACTGTGGTATTAAAAGTCTTAAGAAGAGAAGGCATATCAATCAAGTTTTATGGTAAAGGAGAACCAACATATTTTTAGTTGAATAAGGTTGGTAAGGGAGTAGTGGGTAAATTTGGGATGCCAGGGGAAATGAAAATTGGGGGGGGGGGGTTTAATTGACTATGTATAGAAAGAGGTTTGGTAATAAGTAATACATATTTTATGAAAAAGAGGATAAATAAGTATACATGATATAATATAGCAAGTAATGAAAGTTTGTTAGATTATGTATTGGTGGATAAAAGGTTGATGGGTAGTCTTCAGGATGTATATGTTCGTAGAGGAGCAACGGATATATCGAACCTTGATTTAGTTGTACCTACAGTTAGAGTAAGGGATAGATGGGGCCAAACGGAAAATAGCATCAGCAATTAAGAGAGAGGTGAAAGTTTATAAATTAAGTATAGTATAGCAAGTATAGCAAGTATAGTAAGTATAGCAAGTATAGGTAGTGTGGGGGGGGTTGAAGAGGGGGGGGGGGATAGTTATAAAAATTGAAGTGTTAAAATTCGGGGCAGAAGTTTGTGGCTATAAAAGGGTGGGTGCAGGAGGAAAGAGAGGTGATTGGTGGAATGATGAGGTAAAGGGTGTGATAATAGAGAAAAACGTCGCTTATGAGAGTTTTTTACAAAGCTGAAGTGAGAGAGTGCAAAAGGAGAGCAAATGATAGAGTGGGTGAGGCACTGTCAGCAAATTTTACTGAGATTAAAAAAAATTGGAGATAAACAGGTTAAGAAAGCCTATGGAACGAATGGATTTGTTAGTTAAAAACAGAGTAAAGGAGCTAGTAGATGGGGAGCTGGAGGTATTGAGTAGATGGCGGGAATATTTTGAGGAACTTTTAAATGTTGATGAAGAAAGGGAGGGGGTAATTTCATGCACTGGCCAGGGGGTATACCATCTTTTAGAAGTGAAGAGGAGCAGGATGTGAGTGTGGGGGAGGTGCGTGACGCATTACGTAGAATGAAAGAGGGTAAAGCAGCTGGAACTGACGGGATCATGATAGAAATGTTAAGATCAGAGGAGGGGGAATAGAGTGTTAGCAGAGAGCATGTATAGTTCCTTCATATAAAAGGAAAGGGGGACAAAATAAATTGTAAAAATTATAGGGGAATAAGTTTACTGAGTATACAAGGAAAAGTGTACAGTTGGGTTATTATTGAAAGAATTAGAGGTAAGATTGTAGTAGGATTGCAGATGAACAAAGAGGTTTTAGAATGGGTAGGGGATGTGTAGATCAAGTGGTTTACATTGAAGCATATATGTGAACAGTATTTAGATAAAGATAGGGAAGTTTTCGTTCCATATATGGATTTAGAAAAGGCATATGAAAGGGTGGACAGGGGAGCAATGCGGCAGATGTTGCAAGGGTATAGAATAGGTAGTAAGTTACTAAATGCTGTAGAGAGCTTTTATGGGGATAGTGAGGCTCAGGTTAGGATGTGCAGGAGAGGGGGAAACTACTTCCCAGTAAAAGTAGGTCTTAAACAGGGATGTATAATGTAACCATGGTTGTTTAATATATGTATAGATGGGGTCGTAAAAGAAGTAAATGCTAGGGTGTTCGGGAGAAGGGTGGGATTAAATTATGGGGAATCAAATACAAAATGGGAACTGACACAGTTACCTTTTGCTGACGATATTGTGCTTATGGGAGATTCTAACGAAAAGTTACAAAGGTTAGTGGACGAGTTTGGGAGAGTGTGTTAAGTAAGAAAGTTGAAAGTGAACATAGATAAGAGTAAGGTGATAAGAATATCAAGCGATTTAGATAAAAATTGGATATCACATTGGAGGGAAAGAGTATAGAAGAAGTGAAGGTGTTTAGATATTTGGAAGTTGACTTGTGAGCAGATGGGTTTTTGAAGGATGAGGTTAATCAAAGAACTGATGAAGGAAAAAAGGTGAGTGGTGTTTTGAGGTATCTGTGGAGACATAAAACGTTATCCATGGAGGCAAAGAAGGGAATGTACGAGAGTATAGTGGTACCAACATTCTTATATGCATGTGAAGCATGAGTTGTAAATGCTGCAGCGAGGAGGAGGCCGGAGGTAGTGACGTCTTGTCTAAGGGTAATGTGCAGTGTAAATATTATGCATAGAATTCGTAGTGTGGAAATTAGGAGGCGGTGTGGAGTTACTAAAAGTATTAGTCAGAGTGCTGAAGAGGGGTTGTTGAGTTTGTATGGTCATTTAAAGGGGTTGGAACAAAGTAGAATGACTTGGAGAGTGTATAAATCTGTAGTCAAAGGAAGGCGGGTTGATAAGAACGTCACTTTGGGAGCCTTGTCGGTCTCCCTAGGCTCGACCCCTGATGATTGCGATTTTTCTCTCTCTCAATGTATATATATATATATATATATATATATATATATATATATATATATATATATATAATATATATATATATATATATATATATATATATATATATATATATATAGGATGAAAGACATTGACACACACGATGCCTTCTACCTACTCACCAGGTGCCTGTCAACCCCAAAACTTACCTATTTTCTGAGATGCTCCCCAGCCTTCACCAGTCCAAAACTCAAGGAATATGACTCTCTCCTGAAGGCCATGCTAGAGAGTGTATTGAATCTTTCCCTTGACGATGGACAGTGGTTGCAAGCCCACTTCCGGTCAGGCTTGGAGGGCTAGGAGTACGCAGATCCTCCCAGATTGCTCTACCAGCTTTCCTATCCTCTTCCATTGCATCAAACGAGTTGATAAGACAAATTCTTCCTGACACCCTCAGTGACTCAGCAGGAATAGAAGACCCTAGCTATGTCAGTGCCATCACCGAATGGGAGACTCTTGCTGCTCCAGCACCAAACCCTATTGCAGCACTGGCTCACAAACAGTCAAGCTGGGATAGCCCAATTGCTGAAAAGGTGCTTGCCAACATGCTCAGGGCTGCAACATCAGATAGGGAGATTGCCCGTCTCCAGGCTGTGAGTGCACCTCACTCCGGGGACTTCCTCCAAACAGTTCCCATATCGGCAATGGGAACGCGACTCGACCCTAAGACCCTCCGTATTGCAGTGGCTCTGCGCCTTGCTGCCCCAATTCACACAGAATATATGTGTATTTGCGGCGAAGTGCAAGCAGACCAATACGGTCTACATGGTCTTAACTGTTCCAAAACCAAGGGCTGGCATGCAAGACACAATGAGGTCAACGACATCATTAAGAGAACCCTTGCTACAGCTGGATGCCCTGCCGAGAGGGAGCCACGATCACTTGCAGCAAACAATACCCACAACCCAGCAAACCGCCCCGACGGGATCACCATCTATCCTTGGAAGAATGGCAAGCTCTTAGCATGGGACTATACCTGTGTGTCCACACTGGCTGACACCTATATCCAGCACAGTGTGGGGCGACAGGGAGGAGCTGCTGACCACAGGGAGGAGTACAAGATCAGCAAGTACAGGGACATTAGCCAACAGTATCAATTTGTCCCAGTGGGATCAGAGACCTTGGGATCATGGGGAAAAAATGCCACACGTTTCCTTAAAGAATTGGGTTCCAGACTCATCGACACCACCAGGGACCCAAGGGCAGCCACTTTCATGTTCCAGCGCCTCAGCGTCGCCATCCAGAGGGGAAATGCTTGCTGCATACTTGGTTCACGTCCAGCCTCGGAGGAGCTGGAGGAAATTCATCATCTTTGATACATTGTGCCATTGTATTCATGTTTATGTTTTTTTTCTGTAAATATATATATATATATATATATATATATATATATATATATATATATATATATATATATATATATATATATATATATACACATACATAAACACTGATCTCTGGCTGAAGGAGACTCGAACCTACGAACGTTGGAACATGGTACGCAGTGCTATACCATTCTCACCACACTGGACCAATACCTTTGCGTCCAGCGTGCGCTAGACTTTGATCCAAGGCAGCCAGATTTCAGGGAGAAGGCTTACAGCTTTTTATCTCATCCCCTGTATGCATCAGCCTTACTAGAGATTTTAACAATGCAAGAAATTCGCAAAGCTGGCTGCCTTGGAT